TCATTAGGACTCCCGATGGAACACAGTGAGGCATAATATGTATGTACCAGTTAAATTCGACTAAAACTGTTGCAGCGTATTCGCTTTCACACACCACAAACAACACCAAACCTGTAAAATCTTCTGCACCCCTCTCGCTACGCCATAATGCTCAGCCCCGATGATGTTGGGGTCCATCACTCGCGACGTCGAGTCCAACGGGTCCACTGCTGGGTACACGCCCAGTTCAGCGATGGCGCGGGACAATACCGTCGTCGCGTCCAAGTGAGCAAAGGTCGTGGCGGGAGCTGGATCTGTTAAATCATCTGCTGGTACGTATACCGCCTGGAACAGGTATTATTAACGAGATCACAGAAATGTGGAATATGGCTTCCACTGAAATAATACCCATTGTAATAATTGATTTTTTGAATATTGTGGATATTTTTACCATGATAGCTCTGGGTTATTTAATGAAACTCCTGTTTTTGTTCATCTGGTTTTATTGAACTCTATTATAAGTGGACTGTATAAACACACTATATTTTTTTCTGAAGGACACTTTGCAGTTGCTGCTGATGGTCTTGACTGCGCCACCGGAAGATTGGGCCAGCTGAAGGCTCGTAACCCGTTAAAACTAAAACTAAACTAAAAATTAAGTAGCGGGCCTGAGGGCGCCTAAATGGGCACGAAGCTTAGGACGCTACTGGGGACTTTCGCCAGAAGGGTGTGCTGCAGGAGAGAATCTACTAGTGTACGTGATAAAATGTGGGGCTCTACGACCTCGCCGGTGAAAACGATTGAGTTGGACTGATTAGCGATCTGGTTGGCCTTTAAGGCGGCAAGAGTGATAGGACCGTCAGAGTCGTTGTGGACTGTCCTGGGCCGACGGGTCGTACGCACGCGGTAAGGATGTTTCCTGAGAGGGACGTAATTGGAAACTTCACACACATCGTTATGGACGGCCAAGACGCGCCTGGCCGGTCTGAGCAAATATGAATAGAATTACGTAAATAGTACAGGGACTCTGATTGGCCGGGTGGCGTCCGCAGCGCATGGATAGGGTCGGTACGGTGTGGGAGACGCCGTTTCGACATATATATATATGAGAATCTTGTAAGAATTGTGCATACATATTTTGTGACTTGTTAGATTGAGGAACTAAGTAAGATCACAATTGTTAGAATAAGGTGTTCGTTCAAAACTGCCTCCGTGGCCGAACGGTTACCATGCCAGACTGCTATGCAGAGGTCGCAGGTTCGATTCCCGGGCCAGGAGAAATATTTATATAGCCTACACTTATTTCTCTTGTGAGTTTGGGTGTAATTTGTGGTTGTCTATGTATGCCTCCATGGCACCCGCGACACAGGGTTTTTTGCTCATAAGTGATGTCTAAAAAGTTTTTTCAAAATGTACCATAAGTCATTTGAACAACGTTTCAATTGCAGTGCGAAAGAAGGACAGTGGTTGAGTGGCTAAATGTACCTGTACACTTGTGATGGAACCGGTTTTGGTGGTGGTGATCCTCTCCTGCATGGTCCCCATGTCGGTAGCCAGTGTCGGCTGGTACCCCACGGCGGAAGGGATGCGCCCCAGCAGAGCGGAGACCTGGAGATGTCAGTCGCTAATACATAAGATGCAAATGCATTTATATCCACCGAGACTAGTTGTGAGGGGTTGCCACTGGCGTAGCGCAATCCGCGCGCTGTAAATTAACTAATTAATTTATTTGTACATTTTAGGAAAGTTCACGGACAAATCGCATTGTTAATACGATATTGTGTTAACTCAAAAAGTGTATTTTTTAAGAGTCAACGAAAAACAAATTACTCGCTTCCCGTGAAAGATTATAAAAATTTATATACAGGTTAAAGTTTATTACTGAAATCTAAACAATTTCCGCGGGCGCGGGTGTCGTTAAACTGAGACACCAGATGAGAAGCGGGAAAACTGTTTTGCTATTTCAGATTATTTAAAATTCAAAATGACCTACCTCAGAACCAGCCTGAGTGAACCGGAAAATGTTGTCAATGAACAGCAACACGTCCTGTCCCTCTTTGTCTCTGAAGTGCTCCGCCACTGTAAGGCCGGTGAGCGCCACTCGTGCGCGAGCGCCGGGCGGTTCGTTCATTTGCCCGTACACTAGAGCTACCTGTAAATAACAAAGAACAATTGCAAAAGAACTCGTTAGCGTGTTCAAATGTCTTAATTACAAGTTTGAATAAAATAAATTCATTAGGTTTTTTCAAATTACAATAGCGGCCTATCAAAGTCTGAAATTAAAATCATATTAAAAAAACTCTAATTACTAATTAGTACATAAACCGGACTGATATCTACAACTATTAGCTTCTTAACGTTGAGCGACATCTTGCCCCCAAAAAAGGGAATTTCAGTACTTATGGATATGGACCACATTTAGTTCACGTAATATCAAATGTACTGATTCGACCGATTTGTAATAAGCTAATGAAAGATTAACTACTTCATTACAAAAAATAAAGTCGATAATTTCTTCTCTATAACGCCACGCGAGAAAATGGTAAAACTGACATAAAGTTCCCAAAGTCAGGAATAAATAGCACATTTCACAAAAAAAAATTGTGTTCTAATTACCAGTGCAATAGTCTGTGGTATGTTATTGATTAATTAAGTTTTTTAAATTCCTAGTAAATAGAATTCAAATTCACCATTAATGTACATGAAGACGTGGTAACTGGGCAGACGCTGCGCGAAAACTTTCGCCTCGTGTAACCCCAGTTTCGTTTAAGAGTTCTCATGTCAAAAAAGTTTTGATGTTGGCTCGGCGGAATATATGCCTGAAGTTCGCGTGACATGGGACAGGAGATGTTGAATTTTGCGCATTAAAAGTACCAAATTCGTTTTAGCGGAATAACTCTAAAACTAAAGGGATTAAAAAAATCCGTAGTGACAGTTGTCGATCATGCATAAATATAATTAATTATCTAATTTTTGTCCTAATAACCTGTGGCATTTCGAGGATGAATCGAAAAAATGTGAAACTTTATTGTTTTATGTTTCTGATTAATGTCTATGCTTGAATATATCGTGTAGTTACTCATACAATATTTTATTTTTAACTTTAAAGTGGCTATACCCCTCTAAAATCAAATCGAACATTAGGAATTATTCCTCTGCTCCCTCTTAAGGCAATGCGTTACGTTATCATCATTGCTTACCTTAGAGGTCTTGTAGTCATCCGTGATGACACCACCGACCTTCATCTCGTTGTACAGGTCATTGCCCTCGCGCGTCCTTTCGCCAACTCCGGCAAATACCTGAAGAATACCATATCGTTTTCAATGTTATGATCCCGGTCAGTCTTCTATGCGGAGCGTTCGGCATGTGCTATTACAATGCGCCAGTGGGCAAATACAGGGCGAAGTACACAACCAGGCTGCTTAAATTGCACATCGGGCATATTCGGGAACCACGAACATTGTTGCCGTGCCTATAACTTATTGTATTAATAACTGATAATTATGATGAATTAACATGAAACTTTATTACTCAATATCTAACGTCTAAGTCATTGACAACGTTAATAAAATTTCTTATTTCGTTATCATATATACATCAGTGAATAACAGGATAACTTATTAAAGAAATAAATAAAAAAATAAAAATCGATTCGGCGGCGATCGGGCGAGCGGAAGTACAAATAATTTACGTGTGTTCGTTAGATCAAGGTCGCGCATGCACTGAGCAATTTCGCGTATGCGCCCGCGCCCCCACCCCCGACCTGTGCTTTGTTTTTCGCCGTCGGAGCAATAATAGTGATGTGCATAGATTTCGATAACTAATGTTGTTCTCGAGGAGTAGTCGATAAAAAAAAATTAAAAATATATTTTTTGTAAAGTTTAAGTTCATTAGTTTATTATTTCTTTGGGTTCAGAATCAGGAATATAACGCACTCTATAAGCATGTCCCACTTTCAAATATACAGCCTGTATAAGTATTGAATTAATCACTGTGAAAAAAATATGTAGTAAAATTGAAGATATACTCTGACTAGAGTTATACGGTGTGAAAACACGATTCCTTAAACAATTTTACGATAGAAATAAAAACACAAACTTACCTCGAAATTTGAAAAAAACCGTTGTATTTAACAGGTACTTTACAAATACCAATTTTGTTATACCAACTGAACCAAATAGAACACGTAGTACACGATATACATTTTTGAAATGGCTATAATTTCTTTTCAATTCTGAAATAAAGTCGACTTCAAACCGATTGCGCTTCGACAGTGCCCGATCTCTACTTATAAATAAATAATTAAATGGAAATGTGTGACAGCGTACATCCAGATAGCGCATAAACACTACTCGAGATAAGCTACAGTTTACTGTAAGCACTGTTGTATAAAACCATTCAAATGCAGTTGCATGATTTGTGCATTCAGTGCAACAAGTAACATTTTTTTTTTATAAATAATAGTCACAAGCTTGACCACAATGTCACCTGATGTTAAGCAACGATGTGACCGACGATGGTAAGCGTTTGCCTAAAAAATGCATATTCACTCTAAAAAAGCTGAAAAAGCTGTGCTCTCGGTGGATCGCACACAATTTGACTGAGGCTCAAAAAACGGATCACGTCACTTGGTGCAATGCCATGCTTACCAAATTCGACTAAGGAGCGTCAAATTTGGTGTGGGACATAGTAACAGGTGACGAAATATGGATTTATAGTTACGATCCCAAAACAAAGCAGCAATTGAGCGTATGGATCTTTCGAGACGAGCCAAAACCAACCAAAGTGGCGAGCGTGCAAAGTGCCTCTAAGCGGATGACTACTTCTTTTTTCAATAAAACTGGACACATAGCTACTGTTGCTTTGGAGAATCGTTGTACCATGAATAGTGATTGGTACACGACCATTTGTTTGCCGGAAGTTATTGACAAACTCCGTAAAAATAACTGTAAATGCCGTATGATGTTGCACCACGATAATGCCAGTTCTCACACGGCCAGACAGACAAATGAATTTTTGAAGGTGAACAACGTTGACCTTATGAGCCATTCCGCGTACAGTCCCGACCTGGCACTTTGTAACTTTTATTTATTTCCAAAAATTAAGAACCAGTTACGCGGTCTACGATTTTCATCACCTGAAGAGGCTGTCGAAGAGTACGAAAAATAAGTTTCAGAAATTGTCATGGAGGGCTGGCATAAAATGTTTTCAAAATTGGTTCATTCGTATGAAAGACTGCATTGACGCTGACAGAGAACATTTTGAGAAACAATAAATTCATTTCTGACCTTTTATAGTATTTTTTTCTTATTCATTCTGGAAACTTATAGTGCACCCACGTAAGCCACATAAAAAAGCTTAAATTATACATATTAGAGATGAAACGAATAGTGATTTGGCCGGATACCAGATACCGGATATCCTCTTTATCACTTTAAGGCACGTTGTCAAAAATACTGGGTCACAAACTACACGGGATATCGCCATCCTTCTATTACAGATAACATTATCTAACTTCGTAGTTCTTTGGTTACAAGTAATGAACAGATTGTCAACGATCTTGTAGTTGCTGTTTATCCTACCATTACCATCTTTAATCAATAAATAGATTTATTTGGCGTACTATGTATGAATTTTCTTCAGTTTTACATATCCGGTATCCGGCCGGATATTGTTCTACTATCCGGTATCCGGCCGGATATTGAGGACTACCCGGTAAGCGGCCGGCTATGCCGGATATATATCCGGTATCCGGCCTATCAGGTCTATTTTTCAATCCGGCCGTATACCCGATATACTTAAACTTCGTATTCTTCATGTAATAAAACCACATGTGGAGAATGACAATTTTCAAAGAGAGTTCTTATATAAATATACGCGATTTAGATACAAAAAAATAGTTTCGTTTCCTATTTCCAATAGAGGTTTCATAATTCCACGTACAAAATTAGTCGACAACTTTTATACCTAATACTAATTACACACGGTACCATTGACCTGGTCTTGCTTCAGGAATTTTTCAATTTGGCCTTAATAAGTACGCCCTGGATAAACCAGTTTACGGGGCAAAAATCGTAAAAATTAGATTTTTTTTTAGCAATTAAAAATAACGCCTGAATTTTCAATACATTATAACGAATTTCGATTTAGTTTTCACATTTGACCCTAAGTTTGAATGTATTGTTTAGGCTAGTTTCACAGCGTGCGTACGGCCCGTACGGACTTACCGCCTGCGGGCCATCCGCTAGCATAGAATCCTCAATGCTCTAAATCGAGTATTTAGTGCGGATATTCACGGAAGACAGTCGCCTGTAATGAATGCACGGGTGGCTTGTGCGGAGTTCACGCGGAGCATATTCCTCCGCGCGGATGGTCCGCAGATAAATCCACACTGCTCTGAAACCAGCCTTATTGTTTGTTGCTCTTACCGAGAATCCACCATGGGCCTTGGCTACGTTGTTGATTAACTCCATAATCAATACCGTCTTGCCAACACCCGCACCGCCAAACAATCCAATTTTGCCGCCTGAAACAACATGACGGGGCGTATAGTTGCAGTACTATTCAAAACTTGAAATCTTAAAGACCTAAGGGACGCTGCCATTGGCCCATTTAACCTGACAAATAATCACACTTTATTTACTTAATATTTTTGTTAACTTGCTTATTGACAGGGAGGAAATGTTATTAAAAATAGGGAAATAACTTTACAAGTCCTAGTATAGTTCGCATACGTTGTTCAAAATTCTAACTATTATAGATTTTAAATCTAATAATTAATTGGTATGGAAATTAATGCATTCGGAATTCCGATGATTGCCGAGAGACATTGAGAAAATGAAAACACTGTACATTGTTCAACAAATTATGAATTAATTCATTGTACACCATGTACCGCTCCTTCATCACGCATTCTCACATACCAAAAAACCGCGAAAATTTCAAGGTTAAAGGGTATACCTTTGACATAAGGAGCGAGGAGATCGACAACCTTGATCCCGGTCGCTAAAATCTCCTGCTCCACTGACATCTCGACGAATGGCGGCGCGTCTGCGTGGATAGGAGCGAATTTATCCGTATTTATAGGACCCCGTTCGTCTGAAATGTTTGAAAACAAAGGTTTTCAATCAGTGTATTATGCATTCAGATATGCGAACAACTGTAACATCAGGTCATCGAGTATATAACCAGAAACAGATACGAAATAAGGGATATAAATTCCTGGTAACTCATCAGTGATACATCACCTACAAATATCGCCTTTTATTTGCACTGAAATATAGACAGCACCAACAATTGACCTGTGTGAATCTTTCCGTATATTCCAAAAATATCTGTATTTATTGTACTAAAGATAATAATCTCTGACAATAGCGTGATGCTCCATTCGATAGTGTGGGAAAAAACAGCAAAACATCTAACTACAAACCAAACTGAATCGGAAACGGAATTTAATATGTAATTTTGCAATTTTCGTCAACTATAGCAAAGCTCTAGTTAACTGGAATATTTGAAGTAAAACAATTGACGACACCCATTGATGACACCCGTCAATTGTTTCGAATTCGGGCTGGCCAATCAGAGCACAGTTGTCACAGTAATGATATGGCAGAATAGTTTTCAAACCATTGACTTACAAATAAATGGACGTCGGGTCTAATACAAAAACCACGAAAAAAATGTCCCAAGTCAACCTATTTAAACGTAGTGACATGTAAAAGAAAATGAAAAAGCTAAAACGTTGAATTTAAATTGTAATGTCATCGCAGTATCGCGCTGTCAGTCGAACAAATGAAGACTAAAGCAGAGTTTGACGCTCTGTATACGATTTTAACGCCTTACAAGTTCGGACACTTTTTAGCGCGGACTCGACGTCCATATAATTGTAAGTCAATGTTTCAAACAAATTAAATGACACTTCGTCTCTATTTCTGGTTATATACTCGATGCATCAGGTCAACGCACTTGCATTCGCAGCAGAAACATGCGCGTCGTGCATTACAACGTGACCGCTGACAAAATTATTGTTTTACATATTGATCATAAGTTACTTTTTGGCCCAACGTTCCTAACATCTGACGTAGACTAAATTCCTTTAGTTGAGATTTCTTTAGTATAAAACACTTTTCGGCCCAAGGCTCCTAACATCAGACGCATTTTAATCGAATTTATTTATTTATTTATCAAATGGACAACAAAACAGATAACAATCAAATTACATTGATAAATGTTAAATATAAGTTCTGTACTAGATTGTAACCCTACTTATGTTGACACATCCTTAAGAAGTAACAAGAAAGATCTAGTACTTGCTAAATTTTTGTTTATGTTTGTAGCATTATAGGTCTATTTGTTCTTATCGATGTTTTTGTATAATTTACCTGTTTGTTTCCCTTGAATAAAATTTCAAAAAAATATTAAAAAGTTCTAATTCTAACTGAGATGATTTATAATTAGCAGAGTTAGGGTTCAAGTCGAACTAGAGAATTCCTTATAAGTGTTATGAATGTTAAAACAACGGAATTAGCTCTCTGTTAATACAGGGTTTTTTTATCAATGGCGGGTAGACTTTGACAGTTCATAGCGGCCATGTTGTTGAGGCTGCTTTTGTCAAATCTGTTGTTTATTTTTCAGTCATTAAAGTCACTTCATCACGCAACGATGCGCGCATAGACTGCCTCGCGTTCTCCTGAACACCCATGAACAGCGGATGATTTACGGCACTGACACGTAAAAGAAGGTTCAAGGTCAGCCAAAGGGCAATGAAAAGGACTACGCTCGAAGTTTCACTGCGAGATCGAATCAGTGATGAGAATATCCAGGGAACCAGAGTAACCAACAACACCTAAAGTATTTTAAATTTTTATTGAATTGATATTCAATTATTTTTTGTGAAATTACTCCACTAGTTTGTTGTAATCATTAATACAAAGATCGAACACTCAGAAAAATCCGACCGGATCGAAGGAATTTTTTTCTGAGTGTTCGATCTTTGTATGAATGATTACAACACCTAAAGTATTTCAAAACTTAATTGGCATTGGCCTGGGCACATTGGTCGCAGAATAAATAGCCGATAAGGCCAAAGGGTTCTCGAGTAGCGACCGCGTACCGGAAGATGCCGCGTGGACAGACCATCTGCTAAGAATCTGCTGAACGTGCAAGTAGTGAAGAAGTGGACGTCTTTCGACTGAAATTATGATGATGACTACAGTAGCATGAAAAAAGTTATCAGTGCGAGAAAATATTACTTTACCAATTGGCTCTCCAATGACATTCATAATCCTGCCGAGAGTTGGCTCCCCCACGGGTATGGTGATAGGGGCTCCTGTGTCTATAATAGTCTGACCACGGATCAGGCCTTCGGTACCGTCCATGGCGATGGTTCGGCAGGTATTCTCGCCCAGATGCTGAGCAACTTCGAGGATTAGCTTTGGTGCTGAAATGGAGAGATGAATAAATATTTTTCTAAAGTGCACTAGAAAAATCGTGAAAGAGCAGACTATTCATTTGCACCCGTGAGTATATAATCAGAGATAGAGACGAAATGTCATTTAATTTCTTCGATAACTATTCTGCCAAATCATTACTGTGACAACTGTGCTCAGATTGGCCAGCCCAAATTCGAAACAACTGACGGATGTCGTCAATTATTTCACTTCAAATCGACCAGTTTAACATAAGCTTTGCTATAATGGACGAAAATTGCAAAATTACGTATAATATTTAATTACTGATGAAAGATGATTCTGTTTGTTTTGCAATTAGATGTTTTGCTGTTTTTCCCACACCACCAAGTGGAACAGCCCCCATTGTTAAAGATATTATCTTTATTACAATAAATACACAATATTTTTGGAACATATGGAGACGTACACACAGGTCAGTTATTGGCGTTGTACTAATTCAGCTTTCTAATTTGTGATTTCAGTGCAAACGAGAGTTGATATTTAAAAGTGATATAAGGCCCATTTACCTGATGAGTTGCCAGGGATGGATGACCATTATTTCATCTCTATTTCTGGTTGTATACTCGATGTTTGCACCTTTCGTAGTTGATACAGCATATCAGTTTATTGCGAATGTTGAAAGTATCGTGTAAAGTATACCATAGATTATTTATGGTTTTAAAAAACTTCTGACTGAAAATTCTGTGGCCATAAAGTCAGCATTCCTGTCACTTCCTCTGACGTTCAGCCACGCTTGATACAGTTATAGCATAGTATAATCAGAGCAAATCCTCCAAACAACTCCCGCCTGTACGGCGCGTAAATGCCTACATTTTCGCTTGGAGCGTAGAGTTGTTCGACAACTTCAAAAAAAGGACAAGGTTCTCAATTCGACTCGCGATAACTCCGGCGGCATTTGTGAACCGATTTTGACAATTTTTTTTTGTTGTTGGAAAGAGGGTACCTCAGTAACAGTCCCATTTAAATTTGAAAGAAATATTCCACCAGTAAATGTGGCAAACTAGAGGATAAATGACTGTCTTTTGAGGTCGGTTTTTTAGTACAGAGATTATTACATCATTAGTTTAGTTGAATTTATAGATTGTAATGTAAAAACAAAATTTGAAAAAAAAAATCACAGTATTCTCCTGCTATACCTATTGAAATAATCTTTGTTTAATTGCAGTATAGCGCCTTATGGCGGTAGTGGATTTTTAAAATTTTAAAAAGCCCGTGGGCTTAATTCAGCACGCTACAGTGTGATGAAAAACACTTTTCACTTATGATCACAATGTAGCTTTATTTACATAATACGGGACAGAGTCGTGCTAGATGGTCCAAAATGAAGCCAAGTCACCGGGGACAATACAGGGTGTAATCGTTAGTGTGCCCAAACGATTATTTTCTAAACATAAAGAGATATCAAAAAGCTTTAAACTGATATCAAAAGAACGTTACCTAATGAGTAATTCGTAATCATTAACTTTTAAAAATAAAACTAGAAATATCCAAAATTTTAACGTTAAACGCTCCCGTACATTTAATAATAATATGACATTCGTAGAGAGGCTTTAGTTTTCTTACCACAGATAACAAAACTAATATAAATAAAGTAATGAAACTATCTTTTAATTGAATAAAAATATGATGGCATAATCATTTATTTGGTCAAGTATGAGTTGACCATAAAATTGAATAAAATCGATCAATTTTTTTATGTGCTCAACAACTCAGTTTCAATCATTAATACAAAGATCGAACACTCAGAAAAAATTCCTTCGATTTGGTCGGATTCGAACCGACGTCTTCTTGCATACCGTGTCAGACGCTATATCAACTAAGGCACGGAACGAACCAACGGACCCAACGAATTTCTCTATGTGCTTACGTCGTGTCTTTGTATTTGGTTTTTCAACGACTTTTTAGTCGTAGCGCCATCTATGAGAAATCTATGAAAGATTTATCACCCAGTTAGTACCTTTACAGCTACTAGTCCTGGCGAAAGATGTCGCTATTCACTGTATTTTAAATTTTTATTGAATTGATATTCAATATTTTTTTGTGAAATTACTCCACTAGCTTGTTGTAATCATTAATACACCGTTTCACTAATTAATACTCAGTTTCATATAAGGATTATTTCATTGCATGGGACGAAAAAAATCGGGCAACAGAAGTTGGTCAAACTGCTTGATGGCTACCTGTAGTCATAATGTAATATTATATTTGTAACAATTACTTACTTACGTTACTTACACCACTTAGATTATTTGCTTTACATTTTTACTTGATACAGTTTAAGGGTCGTATTCCAGAACTCTACTCAATACTCAAGTCATGACATGAGTATTGCAGTGAGCACTGAAAATCATACTCAAGTCCTTGCCATTAGGGTCGTATTTCCAGTGCTTGAAATCATACTCAAGTCTGCTCAAGTCCTGACTTGAGCATTGAGTAGAATTCTGGAATACGACCCTTAGAGTTAGGTATGTGTATTTGCGTGCACTTTGGTGGAATATCTTACTGGCAAAAAACCAGCTCTGTTTGACTTTTCACGGTCTACAGTATTTATGCTAGGTCAGGGCCATTTGAGCACAAACTGTAGCCATACATAAAATTTTGTTAATTCTCACAGTATTTGTGTGTTTGTTTCTCTCGCAGTATTTCGTAGGGGATATAGTGCAAATCCGCGTATGTACTATTGGTAAAAAACCGCGTATCTGCACCAAATCAAATTTCACAGGAGAGATTTAACGTCATTACTTTGTTATTTCAATGGCTACGACTTTGATTTTTGCACAGTAATCATTAATTTATGTTGTCTACGAACTGATAAGAATATATTCCCGTATATCACGCCGACTAAATTACCGAAACGTACGCGTAACTGCGCTATCCGCGACGATTTGTTGTTATCACATTATGTGTTTTACATAAATGTGTATTCAATTAATGATGATTTTGTGTTACACTTTGTGAAGTCATTGTAAATGTTTTGTTTCTGTTTGTATTTGTGCTAAATAAACGTATTATCTATCTATTCGATTACTTACTTCGTCCAGGCACCTCAAGAGCATTCAGGATAGGGGGTAAGTTCTTGTCAAATTGTGCGTCGACAACGGCGCCAATGACTGCAATTCACATTGAATTATCACTATATAACGTAAATACGTCTTCATAGATAACTTGTGACCAGCATGCTAATTTTGATTTAAATCGGAATTGAACCGTTCGGGTAGTCCGGAAATCAGATGGGTTTCCAAGCGAGAAGATGAACCCGATTCCTACTATATCCTTCTAATTTGTGAGTGAAATCAACTACTGTTCCGATTAGAAATATCAAAAGTTTCCTATCGGCCAGTTGTGAATCGCAATTATGCGCCTCGACTCGGAAGAGACGCAGTTTCCGGTCGGGAGAGGCAATCAAAATAAAGCTGCAGTAGAGCTTGTACGACAGAGCGCGACTCGCGCGACATAAAGCTTGGGATTCTGTTTTTCTCGCATAGACATCTCGCGCTTTATGTCGCTCTCACAAGTAGCGCCTTGATGTGCTAGCCTTATAGCAATGGTATGTAGGGGAACCTGGGGTATTGTGAGCCCGCAGAATAGAATAGAATACAATTTATTCCTTGCATAATCATCACAGCACACATGCATGCAAACAAACAAAGAAACATACAAACACACACACGCACGCACGCACGCACGCAAGCACGCACGCACACGCACGCACGCACGCACACACACACACACACACACACACACACACACACACAGCGCGCGTCATATTTATTAGTACTATTTCATCAAATAATTTTGCTATTATTATCTTTTCTCTTTTTTCGTTTTTATTCTAATTAAGTACGAGTAATTAATAGATTCAGGCGTTACTTTGCGGAAGTCCACGTTAATAAAAATGGAAGTAAATTAATTTGCTCCGCGAACCCTTTGCTTTTGGGTTCGCAGAGTAGCAAATAAATTTACTTCCATTTTTATTTTATTCTAATTGACAGAATAGTGGACCTTGTAGTGTCCCTTTGTAGGGTATGGTTGTCCACTAGCGCGCGGAGGAACACTGGCTCTCATATCACAGGTTACCCTACTAAATATATAAAGGTAATAATCCTTACTTTGTATTTATGTTGTAAAAACAAAAAAAATGATAATAAATATTATTATAATATTATTATTTTATAATAATAATTATAATCATACTGATAATGCTAGTAATAATAACATAAGGATTTGGAACTTTTTTTTTTTTTTTTTTTTTAGTTTATATAAATACATATAATATATAGAGTACAAAGCGTGTGTGCTGTGCTGCCAAGGAAACCGTGAGCTTGTTGTCGTCCAGCGTTCAAGTGCTGCGACGGTGATTTTCAGTTGATCCAGCAACAGAGCATACGTGACACTGAACATAGTAGGTGACACTAAAGACATTGGATGACACAAGCACATATTTTATTACCTATATTAATTTAAACACAAAACATGAACAGTCTATTCCATTAAAATACAATTAATGTCGTTACCATTTAATTTTTTGGAAATTGAATGGAATTTAATAAATGATGAAATAGGAACGATGAAATAAGAAATTTGATAAAATTAATTTCTGAACACCTAGTTCAGATTCCAGACGAGATTTCTACAGTCGTAGACGCCAACTGTGCTATTGAGCGTCTAGAGGGACACATACAAACCGCCGTTTGTAACAGCTCCCGGCCAGCACCGGCGACGGACGACTGTCGCTGGAACCTACCGGAGAATGTGCGTGCCCTTCTAACGGAAAAGAACGCAGCCACTCGTGCTTACGACTCTTACCCCACCGACGAAAACCGCCGTTTCCTGCGGGCTTTACAGAGGGACGTAAAGACTCGAAGGGCTCGAACCCACCTACCAAGCCTTCTGGCAACTAACCCGGTCTCTCAAGTCGGGCACGGTTGCCCAAATGGGAGGCATTCTCTCAACCGACCCAACCGCATCCCAGTATTTGATGACGCGGAAAAGGACGAGGAAAAGGCCGAATGCCTGGCCGACTGCCTTGAAGCTGTGCTCCCCGAGCTTAGAATCCGTAGACCCGGCCCACCTCTTCCAGGTAGACTCCGAGGTCGAACTCAGAGCGGGTTGCTCCCGCCCTCCGACCCTCCTCTCACCGGTCGCATCGGTCACCCCAAAGGAAGTAGACTCGCTCATAAAGGACCTTAAGCCCTGACAGTATCTCCACCAAAGTGCTTAAACAACTATCTGCATCCCTCATCTGTCTTCTGACTGCAATTTTTAACGCCGCTCTGACCAACTGCATCTTTCCGCAAAAGTGGAAAGAGGCGGTGGACATTGGTATTCACAAGCCCGGGAAACCTCTATTTGAGCCTTCCAGTTACCGTCCCATCTCCCTGCTTAACACCATGGGCAAACTCTATGAGCGCATCCTCTACGCCCACCTCAGAGACTACGTCATGTCCCAGAATCTCCTCCCCGACGAACAGTTCGATTTTAGAGCTAGGCACTCCTGCGTTCAGCAAGTTCACCGCATAGTGGAGCATATCTCCAAACGTTTAGATCGCCTCCGCTTCATGCCCACCGGCGCCCTCTTCGTCGATGTGGCTAAGGCCTTCGACAAAGTCTGCGGCGGAAGTCTTCAGTAGCGCCCTGAGCCGAGGTCCGTTCCCAGTTGGGCGCCCTCAGGCCCGTTTACTTAGTTTTAAGTTTAGTTTGTAATTTATTTTACGGGTTACGAGCCTTCAGCTCGCCCTTTAATCCGTTGGCGCAGTCAAGACCATGAGCGGCCAACTGCAAAATATCCTTCAGAAAAAAAAGCAGGCCAACAATATAAAAGACAGAGCGTTGGCAGTAGGACGGCATTCCAAGTCTGATCGCGATCCAAGTAAGACAAAGAAGCTCAAGAAGAATTCACAACCAGGCATTTTCACTACAGTCCCAAATAATCCTCAACAAGTGTGGGTCGTCGAACTTTAAACAATGTTAGTTATTTTTATTTTATTTTTTTATCATTCTTAGCATTTCGTAACTATCATAAACATTCATTTTTAAAACAATAGTAAATTTACGGGCGTCTCGCTCTGAGGGAAAAGAATAATGGTCACGTTACGTAGAGTAGATTAATAATACTCCGTAATTCCGATTCTTGTAATAGGCCCTATGAAATTGGCATAACGTTATTTACCTGCTATGATCTTGCCCTCCGCCCCTGCTGTAGCGGCTCGGGGAGGCCCTCCTTCCCCCCCACCGCCGCTGGATCCTGCTTTCTTCTCTGGCTCTTTATCACCTTCCTTGGAATTAGAACTACTAGACGTTGCTAAAAAATTAAAAGGGACCACCTGCAAAAAAAAAAGAATTAATATAAAACTTTGAAAAAATAAATTACACATATTTACAATACAAAGATCTGTAACAAGCACAAGCATAGAGAAATTCATAACATCGCTGACTCGGCTTATTAGCTCTTTCGGTTAGATATGAGCTCTGCCGTGTCAAATCAATACACAGTAAAGTTACTTTTCACTTCAAAACGACCAGTTTAATTTGAGCATTGCTATAATGGACGATAATTGATAAATTACATATTTATATTTATTTACCGATGCAATGTGATCCCGTTTATTTTGTTATTAGATATTTTGCTGTTTCTCCCACACCACCGAATGGAACAGCCCCCCTTAGATTTACAACAAATACAGAATATTTGTGGAACATACAGAGACGTGCACACAAGTCAGTTGTGGGCACTTTACTATTTCAGCCTTCTAATTTGTGATTTCAGTGCAAACGAGAGTTGTTATTTAAAAGTGATATAAGGCCCATTTTCCTAATGAGTTGCCAAGGATGGATGGCTCTTATTTCGTCTCTATTTCTGGTTATGTACTCGATGAACAGCGCTCATATGATTTCTCTAAGCTTAATCTATACCCTGACATTTCAACTTTGGAGGTATTGGTGTTTTTAAATGAGTTATTAAAAACTAAAATACACGGTTTGAAATTCAGAAATTATTTTGACAATACGGTACGCAGCAATAGGTAGGTACAGTCTTTTGGTTTCACGATTACTGAGCCTGAGTCAGCGAAAACTCGCAGATCATGCTACACGCATATATTATGGATCACGCATATGTACAAGTTTCATAATGAATAAATGAAAACTATATTCAAATATCAAAGTCGTCTTAGCGCGATAACGGCTCGCTGACAGCCTTGTTGTCGTTCAGTCAATATGACCGTCGATGTGCGGGGTGTGGTGCGGTGTCTAAAGCTAAGGGAGGAGCGGAGAGTGTCCGTTCTCGTTACTTTTTTGTTCTCTGCTAAAACCCAACGTACCACTGGCTGTTTGAGTTCACTCGAAGTAAATTTAAAAATTACATACTTTTTCTCGCTAGGGATCAAAAGATGCACTTTACTGCCGCTACGTAAGGCTATAATGACGTACTTTTAGAACATGAGAATTGAATTGATAAAAACACCATTATATTTAATAAAATAAATATAACGAAATATAGATGTCGGTTTGAAATTAATACCTACCCACTTTTAAATAAAATTATTTAAAACATTATTTTTTATTAAGAAGTTGAATACAAGTCCTTTGAACCTTTGAACCATGTCTTCGTTTAATTATCGGGATCCTCAATAAATACACTTCCGGATACATAATTTCGAGCCACCTCGCATTTTCAGTATTAAGTGCCCTAGCCTTAAACAATGTTTGATTGATCACAAACTATTATGCAATTTTGAAACTAGTATACTAAACGTCATTTCCATAAGTCCTTGTTGGCAATTTAGATTTGCAAAACCGAGGGAAAACTTTGTCTTCGATGATAACACTATTTTTGTATTCTAGCCTTTTACTTAGGTAGCTCGAATAACGTGCCCGGGAGTATATTTTCCATTGCAGTTATAAAGGTACATTACGTTTTCACTTTCACTTTAATCACATTGTCATTTTAAACAAAAATTTTGAATTCGTAATTAATGGCATTTTCACATTGACTTACAATTATATAGACGTCGGGTCCGCGCTAAAAAGTGTCCGAACTTGTAAGGCGTTAAAATCGTATACAGAGCGTCAAACTCCGCTTTAGTCTTCATTTGTTCGACTGACAGCGCGATACTGCGATGACATTACAATTTAAATTTTGAATAGGTTGACTTGGGACATTTTTTTCGTGGTTTTTGTATTAGATCCGTCGTCCATTTATTTGTAAGTCAATGCATTTTCAGGACAAAATATTTTCTACTTTGGTTTAAAAAAAAAGACTACAGTGCCAACTTTCTTCATCACTACTTCTTTCATCGTATTTTCTTCATAATATACGTAAAATAATTTATGTAAAAACTGTACTTGTAACTTCAAAAGCCCGTAATTTAAATTTATAACAATAATAAATATAAATAATAGCCTATAATATAGTCAGTCATTCAGATGGGCACATGCCTCATGTGAGGTTCTTGAACGTAGTTGCCCATAGTGGTCGCTGAAGAGTCCTGGGGGGACCTCGGAAGCAATTGGGGCGTTGATGTTGTCCACGGGGTGCTACAGAATTTGGAAAAAAAAACGAATTATTTATACAAATTTTACTCCGTCCAACCGTTTATTTAACTTTTGACAGCTCGTATTCTAATCAATTAGTGATGTCCTAATGCGTTTCCGATTCGATTTCATTTCTGAAGAAGTTTTCCGACGATTCATTTATAATAAATAAAAAGAATTTATTATAATTATTTATAATTTATTAGACAGGTACTAAAATTTACCTATCAACTTGAAAAATATTCGTTGCATAATCACTTATAGTCTGTTCCCATCCATTTTGAACAAAAAGTAAACAAAACGGTTTGGTCAAATTTCTAAAGCGATCACGCAATAAATATAATGAGTAAGACTTTCACGTATATATTGAAGATTTCGACTTGATATATCATCACTTTTTTCAACAATATTCATTTGAACAGCATTGTTAAATCGTATTTGAAAAATAGTAGTCCCGAAGTGAGGTTATTTTTCATCTATACATCTATGACTTGTCTATAGTTGGATAGTGCTGTACGAAAAAAACATTCGGTTCATTCAATTAAAGTTTTTGTAATCGATTAGTTAATCGAATATTTCAATTGTAATCGAACGAGTATCTAAGTGTAACGATTTGAAGGAGGAATTAAAATTAAGATTTCGGAAAATTCAAATATGCTTATATAGCTTATGTAAGGAAAACAGCTAGTATGAGTCAATGGAACAAATCCATTCATTTAATTAATTAATCGATTTGTGGTTGGCATTACAATTGGCCGCCACTAAACCGTCTATGGTCGGGTCAGTGACAGTTTGTTCAAAATGGATTGAAACCAAGTATAGCTCGTTAAATATCGGAGCTAAAGAGCACGTCGCTTCACTAAAATAAAAAATAAAAGTGTCCAGAAAGTATTGCATTTCTTGTCTATGATTGCATGTCAATAATTACGGAGCTTCGTAGGCATGCATACACTGCCGGCCAAAAGTTTGAGACCACTAGTACGAATCTTTGTCACTAATAAAATATTTCAAAACTGCTTGAGATATACTAAAAAAAATTGAACACCTGCATATTCTATTGTTATTAGAATAATTCTAAAAGTCAATCTTTTAGTAAATTTTTAAGTTATTATCCTATAAAGGCCTATTGTTTCCAAACATCAATGAATGCCGCGAAATGCCCAGATGGTAGAGTCATTGTAATATTTTTATGAGAGCAGCTCATAAAAATATTACAATTACTAATTATTTTGGTTTTGTTTCGTGTTATCCGATATTTAGAACTATTTTGCTTCATAAAACATATTTATTACCTGAGTTTTCATGGAGTTAAACTTTCATTGTCTTGGTTAGTCCAAGCTCGTCGTTGTTACAGTGAAGACATCTTAAAATGGGAAAAGTGCGCGAAATTAGCAGTGAAACTCGTTCTGTTATAGTTGTTTTACACAACGAAGGCAAATCAGAACGTGAGATTGCCACTCAACTGAAATTGTCGAAAACTTGTGTTCATAACACAATAGCGCGATACAAGAAGACTGGCAGTAATCAAGATCGTCCGCGATCGGGAAGGCCGAGAGCTACGACTTCTAGCGAGGATAAGTTCATCGTCGTTACCAGCAAGCGGAATAGACGCCTAACAGCACCAGAAATCCGCGCAGAAGTGAACAAATCCCGATCTGAACCTGTGTCATTGACCACAGTAAAAAGACGATTGAGAGATGCTAACTTATTTGGTCGCGTCGCCGTTCGAAAACCACTACAAAGGCCACAAAACAAAAGGAAACGGATGCAGTGGGCTCATACCCATCGAGACTGGACCGAAGAAGACTTTAAAAAAGTTCTTTGGACAGATGAATCCAAATTTGAAATATTTGGATCAAAACGACGAATTTTTGTTCGACGTAGCGCCGAGGAAAAGATGATGCCAGACTGTGTGGTGCCAACAGTCAAGCATGGTGGTGGTTCCATTATGTTCTGGGGATGCTTCTCGAGCCATGGAACCGGAGATTTAGTACGAGTTGAAGGGATCATGAAAAAGGAGCAGTATAAACGAATACTACAGCAAAATGCCGTTCCATCTGGTTTAAAATTAATTGGAAATGGATTTTATTTTCAACAAGATAATGATCCAAAACATAGTTCAAAATTATGCAGGGGTTATTTAGAACATAAAGAAACAGAAGGGGTGTTAAAAAATATGGTGTGGCCCCCTCAGAGCCCGGATCTTAACCCAATTGAGCTTTTGTGGGAAGAGCTTGATAGAAATGTGCGTATTAGGTGTCCCTCCTCGCAAGAAGACATGTGGAAGGCTTTACAAGAAAGCTGGAACAATATTTCACAAGAAACAATTGACAAATTGATTGCTCGTATGCCGAGACTAGTGAGAAATGTAATTAAATGCAAGGGAGGGTTTTTTGACGAAAAATCTGTTTAAAACACGAACGGCATTTTTAACGTAAATGGTTGATATTTCTTGATTTCTTTTGTTTTCTTCTTGATGTATGTGTATTAGTAGATGAGTATTTTAATCAATAATCAAACCTCTTGCTTTATACTTTGAGTTTTATTTCATTTTCCTTCTTTGATGTAGGTGGTCTCAAATTTTTGGCCGGCAGTGTATGTCAATGTTTAAATAACTGGTTGGACGGAGTATACACAGGGCGCACTATAAGTTTCTGGAACTGGCCACTTACATAAATAATATTTAAAAACCAATTACAACATTTGAAAATGGAACTCTTTGGCTGTAAAATACAGTTTGTTTCATCTGTCTGACTGTCACTTGCTTTTACATTGTGGCGTCATTTTAGAAATTGGTTGTCTACATCACCATGGATTTAACTCGTGATCGTAGTATGATTTTCTACGACTTAAAGAGTAATTTAACAGCTCAGCGGAGCTTCGCTTGGTTTTAAACTGCTTTTGGCGATGAAGTACCATGCAAGGCGACTATTTATAGCTGGCTTGCAGAATTAAAACGGTCGTGTGAATCTCAGTGACGAATTTCGTGATGGTCGCGTCACAAAAACATCGATGCTGTGCGCCGTATGATCAAAACAGACAGGCATGTGGATCCCACACAATTTGACTGAGGCTCAAAAAACGGATCGCGTCACTTGGTGCAATGCCATGCTTACCAGATTCAACTAAGGGGCGTCAAATTTGGTGTGGGACATAGCAATAAGTGACGAAACATGGATTTATAGTTACGATCCCAAAACAAAGCAGCAATCGAGCGTATGAGTCTTTCGAGATGAGCCGAAACCAACCAAGATGGCGCGCGTGCAAAGTGCCTCTAAGCAGATGATTGCTTCTTTTTTTAATAAAAACTGGACACGTGGCTGCTGTTGCTTTGAAGAATCGTTGCACCGTGAATAGTGATTGGTACACGTCCATTTGTTTGCCGGAAGTTATTGACAAACTCCGTAAAAATAACCGTAAACGCCATATCATCTTGCACCACGATAATGCCAGTTCTCACACGGCCAGACAGACAAATGAAATTTTTAAGGTGAACACGTCGACCTTATGAGCCATCCAGCGTACCGTCCTGGCCTGGCACCTTGTGACTTTTATTTATTTCCAAAAATTAAGACCAGTTACGCGGTCAACGATTTTCATCACCTGAAGAGACTGACGGAAAGTATGAAAAATATGTTTTAGAGATTGTCACGGAGGAGCGGCATAAATGTTTTCAAAATTGGTTCATTCGTATGAAAAAGTGCATTAACGCTTACGGAGAATATTTTGAGAAACAATTTATAAAATATTTTTTTCTTTCGGAAATTTATAGTGCGCCTCACGTACACTTCAAATATATAATTCTTGTCCTTGTCATTTTTTGTGTCACCTTAATATAAAAAATACGTGTTTTCAATTATTTTTTGCGGGTGTTCAAATTTTTTTATCTTGCCAAAGTTGCACGTGCAGGGGCTGACATGCACACGCGTGACGTTTCCTTTGGTATGTACTGGATCGTTTTAATCCACCGAGTATATAGGTTATATGCTCGATGTTTTAGTCACTCGATAAAAAATTTACTATTTGTGAAAATATTCCGCTAGTTAGATAAGCTATTATTGGGTCGTTGCAAAAAAATCATAACACCAGTTACGATTCTTGCAGCTCAAACTGCTTAAATATTTTTTTTATGAAGAATTTTGGCTGGATACATGTCCTTTGAGTCATGCCTTCGTTTAATTATCGGGATCCTTAGTAATATTTTTATTGCGGTTCTAATACAAATAACTTAGTTCACTTATTTGGGGTTTTTAAATAGTCTTTAGCGACGAGAGTCAATATGTATGTCTTCACTTTCCCTTAAATCACATTATCTTCAATCACTTTGAACAAAAACCTTGAATTCGTAATTATTGGAATTTTTAGGATAAAATCTTTTGTAATTTGGCTTAAAATAAGGAATATAGTTCTAAGTTTCTTCATCACTATTTCTTTCTTCGTATTTTCTTCATAATATACTTAAAATAAAAATAATCTTTGTAAAAACTGTACTTGTCAAAGGCCCGTCATTTCGATTTATAACAATAATAAATATAAATAATAGCCTATAATATAGTCAGTCATACAGATGGGCACATGCCTCATGCGAGGTTCTACGACGTAGTTTCCCATAGTGGTCGCTGAAGAGTCCTGGGGGGACCTCGGAAGCAATGGAGGCGTTGATGTTGTCCACGGGGTGCTACGGTATTTGAAAAAAAAAACTTGAATTATTTATACAAACTTTACTCCGTCCAACCGTTTAATTAGCTTTTGACAGCTCGTATTCTAATCAATTAGTGATGTCATTAGGACGTTAGGCGTTTCCGATTCGATTTCATTTCTGTAAAAGTTTTAATAGTGAAGATTGGGATCGTGGTGTTGCGTTTGACAATTTGTGAATTCAAGAAATAATAAATTAATGTTAATGAGGATTCAAACGATGATTCCCGTTCATATGCAGAAGAATCCGACAGTTCATTATAATAAACAAAAAGACTTTATTATAATTATTTATAATTAATTAGACAGGTACCAAAATTTATCAACTTGAATAATCTTCGTTGCTTAATCAATTGGCTCGATAAATATCAGAGCTAAAGAGCACGTCGCGTCACTAAAATAAAAAATAAAAGAGTCCATGAAGTATTGCATTTTTTGTCCATGGTTGCCATTGACTTACAAATAAATGGACGACGGGTCTAATACAAAAACCACGAAAAAAATGTCCCAAGTCAACCTATTTAAACGTAGTGACATGTCAAGGAATACGAAAAAGCTAAAACGTTGAATTTAAATTGTAATGTCATCGCAGTACTGTCTAATTTTGCTTGCTTCGCTGTCAGTCGAACAAACGAAGACTAAAGCGTGAATGTCGCTCAGTAAACGATTTTAACGCCCTATAAGTTCGGATACTTTTAGCGCGGACCCGACGTCCATATAATTGTAAGTCAATGGTGGTTGCAAGTCAATAATTACGGAACTTCGTAGGCATGCATATGTCAAAAGTTAACTAACTCGTTGGACGGAGTATACACTTCAAATATATTATAATTATTTTTTAATACAGTTGGTCAAACCGTGGTATTTTTCGTACTACAAATCGTGCCGAAAGTTTGATTTTTCGCACTAGTGCTTTTTACTTTTCTATTTTTTTTTTTAATTTACTGTTATTTCAAGTCTTAAACATAGAACTAAAGAGGTTGTATATTTATTTAATTTTTATGTGCTTTGTGCCGTAAGTCATTCGTCATTAAAACTTATATTTACTTACAAACATCTTATTTGTTTAAATAGCACAGGTGTTTTATAAAACAACGGGTTACATTTAAAAATACCAAAATATTTTCCATAAAGATGGCTGATTGAGTATTAACAATGACCGGAGGTGAGTATTACGCGAGATCGCTGCGCGCCGCGCCACTAAAATAGAAATTTTACTGTGGCTGAATACTGGCAACAGTTACCATTGTACTCTGAATTTTTATCAGACAAAGAAACAAAATGAGTTTTTTTTAAATACTGTTTTATTTTATTTTCACTGTAGTTTTTTCGCAAATGTATTAAAATACGTCGTTTGATACACGTGCGGATTTCTCATTTTCACTTGTCTCGAGTCTTGTGAATAATGACTAAGTTTCCGTACTTGTATCAAAAATAACTATTTCCCTGTGATTTTTTGTATCACCTTAATATAAAAAATACGTGTTTTCAATTATTTTTTTCAGGTCTTGATTTTTTTTTATCTTACCTATATGGGCGGTGAGCTAAAAAGTTTGTGAACATAGATTTAGAACATAGTCCTCCACGCTGGCTCTATGCGGGTTGGAAACTTCACGATTTTTCCGAGTGTTATGAAACTTCTTCGACGTGTCATCGCGATGTTATGCTCCGCCGAAAAGCATATGTCAAATTTCAAATTTAAAGAACTCAACAATATAGTAGTTTACGTAACTGTTACATAATGAAAGGCTTTAAAACACGAGTGAGGGTTTATGACACGAGCCGATAGGAGAGTACACAGCTTTATCTACACACATATTATAAGCTCTCTGTGATGTGTTCAGGAACCGCATGTTACGACTGGCGAAATGGCGGCAAATAAAAACTTTTCTCAAGCATGTCACACAACCGTAGTTTTTTTTTAATTTATTAAGGCTTTGGCAAAGCCATCAGCCTAAACATGAAGTTTAATTATGTTTCTGTAAATATAGCCGCCACAAAGAGGATAGGCAATTTGAGGCGGCGTGTTTGGATTGACTCGGGATTTCTTAAAACGGGCCGATACGGGTATTTTAGTTCGAGATTCGTATAATTTCGCGTTTTAATCTTCGATTAAGGCACAACAGCACTATCCTATTCCACTTTAAACTAGATTTCACAAAATAATTGAAAGTCAAAATAAAAACGACACTTTTCCCTCCAAAAGGTCCAGAGCGAATCCACAACCGTAGTTTTTATTTTTAATTCATAGACACACTAGAATCTGGCCCCAACTATCATATCATTCGATATCCAAGTAACGTGTGAAATTGTCAAAATTGTTTGCTACTGACATTTCATTTCGAATAAAACTTCATCTCGACTGATATTAGAATTGAGGTCAAATCAAATTGTTTTGTTTTTCAGAGATATTCGAAATATGAATGCAATAATAACATCGAATAATAACATTTTCACAGATAAGAAATTTGTTCTAACAAAACAGTTTACCTTTGTGCTGGTCATAATTTGCGGATTTTAAACACATTACGGGGAGTTTATGATATGTGTGTAGATAAAATAATTTATTAGTTGTCCCGATGGGAAAAGGGCATGAAGTGTATATATCCGATATGTTTTTTACTCACCAAAATAGAGCCGGCCCGTGTTATTGTTGGTCTTCCAGGCGGATTTTTATGTTGTTTGTCTGGAACAATCGCTGGCTCCACTTCTTTGGGACTGGTAGATAATAATAACAATAATAAGTATATGCAAATGTATTTATATGACACACTTGAATATGAGCACCTAATACACATTGAACATCGGGAAAACTCGAGTACCACGAATATTTCCGATGCACATATTTCCGACATATATAATTTCCGATTATATATATGGCACACACACTATATATAATATCGAATCGTATTATCATAGTATAATGAAACAAGTACGGTAACTCCGTACAAACGTAGCAGCGCGACTTGTATGTTTTCACGCCGTCTAATAAATCGATTTGCACTATCCTATAGTCGTCTTTGCCGAGAAATAATCAAATATAGTTTTCTTTTTTTACACACACACACACACACACACACACACACACACACACACACACACATAGCCCCGCACTAGGGAAACCCTGTATCGCGGGTGCCATGGACACACACATAGACAACTTTCACCCAAACTCACGAGACAAATGTAGGCTATACAAATATTTCTGCCGACTCAGGAATCGAACCCAGGATCTCTGCATGGACGGTAACCATTCAGCCACAGAGGCAGGTATTCGGTGTCTAAAAAAAGGTCCTCTATACCTACTATGGTACGGAATGTAAAAAATAACCCTATGGATAATATTATATAATCGACTTATACCATACCATCAAGTATATAACCAGAAATAGAGACGAAATGTCATTTGATTTGTTTGAAAACTATTCTGCCATATCATTACGGTTACAACTGCGCTCGGATTGGCCAGCCCGAATTCGAAACAATTGACGGGTGTCGTCAATTGTTTCACTTCAAATCGGCCAGTTTAACATGGACAAAATTGAAAAATTACATATTCCATATTTAATAACCGACGAAACGTGATACCGTTTGTTTTGTAATTACATGTTTTTCCCACACCACCAAATGGAACAGCCCCCCATAGTTAGATATATTATCTTTATTACAATTCATATCCAATATTTTTGGAATGTACGGAGACGTATATAGAGCGCACTATACGTTTCCGGAACTGGCCACTTACATAAATAATATTTGAAAAGTAATTACAACATATGAAAATGGAACTCTTTGTCTGAAAAATACAGTTTGTTTCATCTGACTGTCACTTGTTTTCACATTGTGACGCCATTTTAGAAATTGGTTGTCTACATCACCATGGATTTAACTCGTGAAAATTTTTGTAGTATGATTCTCTACGACTTTAAGTGTAATTGCTCAGCGGAGTTTCGCTCGGCTTCAAACTGCTTTTGGCGATGAAGCACCATGCAAGACGACAATTTATAGCTGGTTTGCAGAATTCAAACGTGGTCGTGTGAATCTCAATGACGAATTTCGTGATGGTCGCCCGTCCACTGCTGTGAACAACAAAAACATCGATGCTGTGCGCCGTATGATCATAACAGACAGATATGTGACATACCATGAGATTCGGGCATATTTAGGCATAGGCATGAGTCAAATACAACCAATACTACACAAACATTTGGATGTGAAAAAACGGTGCTCTCGGTGGATCCCACACTTTGAATGAGGCTCAAAAAACGGATCGCGTCACTTACTGCAATGCCATGCTTACCAGATTCAGCGAAGGGGCGTCAAATTTGGTGAGGGACATAGTAACAGGTGACGAAATAATATGGACTTGTATTTACGATCCCAAAATTTGTTTTGCAGCAATCGAGCGTATGGGTCTTTCGAGATGAGCCGAAACCAACCAAAGTGACGAATCGTTGTACCGTGAATAGCGATTGGTACACGACCATTTGTTTACCGGAACTTATTGATAAACTCCGTAAAAATAACAGTAAACGCCCTATCATCTTGCACCACAATAATGCCAGATCTCACACGGCCAGACAGACAAATGAATTTTTGAAGGCAAACAACGTTGACCTTATAAGCCATCCCGCGTACAGTCCCGACCACCTGCACCTGGTACCTTGTGACTTTTATTTATTACCAAAAATTAAGAACCAGTTACGCGGTCAACGATTTTTATCACCTGAAGAGGCTGTCGAAGAGTATGAAAAATATGTTTCAGAAATTGTAACGGAGGAGTGGCATAAATGTTTTCAAAATTGGTTCATTCGTATGAAAAAGCGCATTAACGCTACGGAGAATATTTTGTGAAACAATAAATTCATTTCTGACCATTTATAGTATTTTTTCTTATTCATTCCGGAAACTTATAGTGTGCCCCACTTACACACAGGTCAGTAGTTGGCAGTGTACTATTTCAGC